AAGCCAGTGCGCGCGCCCACCGACGCGACGTCACTTCTGGCAGCCCCGCCTCCTTTCCACGGGGAGGGGGCAGTGAGCGGAGGACATCCACCCCTCTCCACAGATGCAGCGGCAGCAGCAGCAAGCAGGCGAGTGAGGGAGACAATCCACACTACCCATCACACTGGAACCTGGACTGAGCTACAGGAACTGTGCAAAGAGTCAAGGATCAAGCCTGATGAGACCTTGGCTGTATGGTTAGGGCGTCTGGTCGTGGAGTTTGGATCTGACCTGCTTGATCTAGAAGAGGCTAGTTTCTTCACTCGACAAGCCTCGTGGAGTGGAGGACACGCCACTGACATAGATTGGCTGACGTATAACACTCACTGGCCTGTTCCGCTCCCAGCACTTGTTGTGGGTGAAATGGATCACAAGCCCCACATCTGGCACGAGGGTTGTCCGGCGAGGATCAGTGCAAAGCAGATCCTACTGGCAGTGATAGGAAGCTCGTACGGTTCCTGGAACCCCAGGGAGCACGCGCTGGGACTGACACCGACCCAGCAGCAGAGACCGTGGCCGCATCGCCACCTACGAAACCCTGGAACTGTTCCAGTGACTTTTGACAGCGTAGAGGCTTGTGATGAGGTGTATGGAGGGAGGAAAAGCCACCATCCTTCGAGCCCTCCTCAACCCGTTAGCTGGCCAACCAGCCTGCAACCTTCTGCGACAGCTTCCACGATTGCAAGCGCTCATTAAGTCAGATACAGGGACTTCGAATGACCCAGAGCGAGTGTGGCAACTGCCACAGAGGACAAAAGAGGAGAGGATTATGTTTGGTTTCCTGTTGCACCACTCCAGACTCACGAAGCGACAGCTGCAGATCCTGGGAGACGAGGGTCAATGGCAGTTGGCCCATGAGCTGGGTTTCCAGTGTCTGAAGGATCCAGACGGCGACTCCGGAGTGTCCTCATCATGTTAGGACAACACCACGCAGTGTCCGTGTGTGGATGGTCATTCGTGATGGTGCCTCTGTGGACGTGCAAGAGCCGTCCGGAGCTGAGTCGAGTTCGAGCACCTATGTCATGTGCTTGAAGGAGAGTGGGGAACCGAGAGAAGAGATCTGATTACCTCTCCAAATGGATAGTGTTGTACAGGTTCATTAACAGTGTCTAAGAATTCTTTTCTCTAAAGGTTTACCTGAGGTTCGAGATACGTGTCAGAAGCGGATCCAGAGAGAGAAAGAGAGACGCAGAGGTCATCTGATGTGTGACTCCGCCATGACACCTATTGAACTCCTCGTGATTGAACTTTTTGTGACCAGTGTATTGATGTGTATGTGTGTTGGTTACTATTTGGTTCGATCCGTATAGGACGAACTACTGTCATTGTATACTTTTGTACATAGCCAGTTATCTTTAGAAAGGAGCGATAATCTGGATGGCGTGCACGTGCTTCAAGTCCCAGCTGTGTCTTCAGCAAGGGGGCATGTCAGAGCTGATTTGGATCAGTGCCTCGACACAGTGGAACTTTCCAGCACAAGGCACGGTAAGGCAGGGGAGGTCTCGGCATGGTGAAGAGTTCCGGCGGGCATAGAGTTCCCGCCGAGGAAATGCATTTTTGCATAACGCGATTGGCCGATGTTAAATTAGTCCCACGTGGCGGCTGGCAATTGGCTCGCTAGCCGTATAAAAGGTTAGGGGCGTTTCCGCCCTAGTTGGAGAAGTCCGCGATTCCCCCTGGAGTGGAACTCCGGCAGCTTGATCACCTGCCAACGACTCCCCGTCGACGAAGCCTTACGACGTATCCTCCGTGTTGCATGCTCGAGTTAGACCCGAGCTACCCGGTCTACAAGAGCTCCTCGATTAGCGACTAGAGATTAGAATTGTTGCAACTACGATAGAAGTGTGAAGTCACTTCTTGCCTGTGCTGTATACGACTCTACAGTGTAAGTAAAGCCATCTCTGCTTTTCCAATTGATACGTGTCTCGTCTGTGCCTAATTCCGCTCCGGTGATAGAGAGTACCCATCTGCCCGTCACGGGATCGCAGCCGCAACCCCAGCTAGCGTTCCCGAGGGTTACCGATCCTCCATTCCCCCTCGGCCCCCACAGTGGGAAAAGGAGTGCATTCAATGCACACAAAGACCGTAATAGAAGAAAAACTGCACATGGGGAACTTTATAAACCAAAATGCAATTTTAAGAGACAGGTAAAGAGAAGGACACTGGGATGTTATCTTGAGGGAGAAAAAAAAAATGCAGGGAGGGTCACCTTCCCCCAGAAGCAAGGACAATACAGCCAGTGTAACCCGCATGGTATCCAGACAAGGTACCCCCTCTCTAATTGAAGTGATTTAGTGAGTGTTGGTGCGCTGTGGAGGGGTACTATCCCTATTCCTTGTCCCCTATAGAGTAGAGCCAAGATCAGTGGGAACATAGCCGTATACAGGTTTAACAGGGAAAGATCCAGGTAAAGATATGACCCAGAGGTGGGAGGGGGCAGTGGCTGCAGGGGAACAGGAGGGGATTCAGTAAAGGGAAGGTACACATGTATATCTAGCAGAGGCAAATCAACTACAAGCTTGAGGCACAGGGTTTCACAAAATATAACACGCAGGTTCACAAAATATGAGCTGCAGGTAGCCTGGAGGGGCAACGAAAGAAGAGAAACCCTCCTCCCAGGTGGGGATTCCCTCCTCAATCCACCCATGCCTTAGTTACTCTTGGTCCCTTGGCTCATCTGTGGGCATTTGACCTGCTCCAGAGCCACGGCCCACGGCCATGCTCTCCCCATGCTGCCCCCCGTGCCACAGACACCATGCACTGCCCCCCTCCAGGGCTGACACGGCGCACACAAGGGACCGGCGCTGTGGACATGCAGAGTTCCCTGACGGACGGGCCATGCAGTGCCCTGCTGGACCGGCCATGGGACACTGGCTCCAGGGCTGGGCTGGATGAGGACCCAGGCTGTCTCTGCTCGTAAAGTCGACATGCAGGGCCAGTCTGGCAGGGCACCACATGCAGAGCGCACCCTGTGCTGCCCCCGTTGCTGTGGGCAGTGAGAGCTAAGACGAGTCCAGCCCACATGCCGCGGGCAGCGCAAGCCCTGGAGTGAGGCCCACACATCTGCATGTGGCCCATGGGCTGAAGCTGGTGCTGTGAGCGCTGCTTGTGCCACAAGGCACAGCACAGGGCATGAGCTCCATATGGGCAACATGAGCAAGGTGCAGGGTGAGGATCCTGGATGCTACTGCAATGCAAGTATCTGCTACCTTTTGATTGGACTTGTGCTTAGGACTGAGAGTGGTTGATCCATGAGACCATTCCTGTCACAACTCAAAAGCTTTATTAGCATATGCAACTGCAAAGACTTATTGCTATGAATACAGGCAATGCTTGCGCAGCCTTGGATTCAGGAAGAGCAGGTCTGCTGACCAGACATCTCTGCTTCCCTGGGGACTCTTGTTGAGTTGTTTCTTTCTGCTGAGCTTTGGGAAAGGTCCAGTTTGCTGCTAGGCCCAGGCTGAATATTTCTAGATGGTTGATTTGACAGGCTACTAATTGATCTCTGATTGGTTTTATTTAAATGTCTTTGTTCCCCTGGAACTTTTGGAACTGGATGGAACCAGATTTTAATGCCCTGGGAAGGGCTCAAGGGATCAGCTTAGCTAAGGTTGTCTTTTTGGTGTCTGACCCCAGTCTGTGAATGATCTGCAGCGCTGAGGTCCATGAGAGATTGAGGAAGCTGATGGGTGCAGTGCATTCGTGTGAGCAGCACTTGGCCGTGCTGCAACGGGTCAGGATCATCTCTGGCCTCTGACTGGGCAGGAAGCAGCTGGTGCCGGGAGCAGCAGGACTGAGCAGAGCAGGGAGGTTTTTGTACAGGGCTGTAGCACCGTGAGAGGGGTGGTGTTATGTGCCTGACAGTAATAGTGTCCAGCATCATCAGCTTCAACGCGGCTGATGGTGAATGTAAAGTCAGTGCCAGCCTCACTGCCACTGAACCGGTCGGGGATCCCAGAGGGGCGGCTGTTTGTGTTATAGAGAAGGAGCTTAGGAGCCTGCCCTGGTTTCTGCTGGTACAAGGCCATGTAGCTGCTAACACTGGAGCTGGTTTTGCACTTGATGGTGACTGTGTCTCCTGCAGACACTGCCAGGGACTCTGGAGTCTGAGTCACTATACCATCCCCACTGGTGCCGGCATGGGGGACAGAGAGAACATAAAAATAACATCAGGCTCCGCAAATTATATTCTGATTAATAACAGGAAAATAGCACCCCCACACCTTTTTTTTTTATTATTTGTTTCTCCAACTTTCTTTCAGGAAGCTTAGGAGTGATCAGGGGTAGGAAGCCCCTCCATGATATGAAGAAATAGTGGGCACTACAAAAATCTATTGTTTCTGCTTGAAATGTCTCCAAGTAGCCTGGCATATGAATCACAATCCTGACTATGTGCAAAGGCATTATAGTCTAAATGAAGTAGGACATCTGCTCTCTGAGCTGCTCCCTCCCCTGCTGCTGCCCTTACCCTTTGCCCAGAGCACGAGGAGCCCCTTTACAGCTGCTCCCCAGAGCAGGGCGCAGGCACTGGGGCGGCTGTATGCAAAGCAGCAGCTCTATGTCAGTGCTTCTTCCCTGGGGCCAAGGCAGAGCCTGCAGGAAATAGGGTGGATATAGCTCTGATCTGTGAGTGCAGCACAATTTCCTGGCAATGAGGGCGGCACACACACTTCAGAGCACCGCTGACATCTCATTTCCACGGGCCTGGTTCTTCGTTCTGAATCCTGCACTTTGCTCATCTGCTGCATAGCTCCATGTGCATTTGAACAATTAAAATGTTTTGACACGTGCCCACGTTTGAAATGTTTCTAAAACAGACTGTTGGAAACATGGACAGGCCAGAGCGCATCCGAATCACTGCAAAAGCATGCAGAAGCAGTGCTTGTAACGTGAGGGACAGAGAAACACATGCAGTCCTTGTGTGGGATGCCATCTCAGCCCCCTCCAGCCACCATCCAGCAGGGGTCCAAGGGCACCAAAATGGCAGCAGCTTGGTGCTTCTAGAGTTTTTAGCACTGAGAGGGCCAAATGGCTCATGGGAGTTTCAAGAAAAGTTTTCATTGCTCTCTGGTGCATGTGCAGAAAATCTTGGCCATTATAATTTTCAGCAGAATAATGCAGCCTCCAGGTGTGGATGCTCAGTGGGTGTAAATGGAGTGTGCAGTGTCCCCAGGGCAGGAACTAGAGACAGGGCATTACATATCCAAACCCCCAAGCCTCCAGGGGTTTCCTGCAAGTAGGTCACCCGCCAAAGGTCTTGGGAACACCTCTAGCCCCAGATCGGGGTGGAGGATGTTTGCTGGTAGTAGGGCCACTTATGGTTCTGGACTGACTCATGGGTTTGGCATTGATTTGGCTGATTTGGCTTGGATCATGCCC